AGCTTAAAGTATGCCTATACAATTACTGTGTCTCCGGCTGCCGTTCAGAAACACCATGTCGAACATATTTTGCTACAGTGAGAAACATGGTACACTAGCGACTTGTTTTAGATTACTCAAGAAAGGATGCATACGTGCGACACCAGAGGAAAAACAATCAATTATGCATCTGATCCATTAATAGTTATTGCACAGTGCATGTTACTAGACCTTTGTCCTAACTCAGTAGTTAGGAATAGGATGTTTTGATAAAAAGCTTCTATTCAACTCGCTTAGACCTAGGGCGTGATGCTATCATCCGATGAAACACGTAACTGAACCCTCTACCTGAACCTGAAGTCCCTTTAGCTGAAACAAAAACTGCCCCTTGAACATGTCCATTTTTTAATCGTCAAATGATTTGTGATTTCATTGAACGTCTTTGATCGAAAGCTTTCAAGTGACAATAACCGAACCGTGTGTTGATTATTTATTAAAGCGTAATTAAGTTTATTCAACATGATCTATTTTGTAAACGATACATGCCAAGATTGAGCTTGGATTGATCACCGTCACTATTTAGCTACTCGCCTATAATGCGTGCTGAACGACAGACAACTTAAAATATTATCTGTGTAACTGTGCAAATGAACGCATTTAGTTAAAATATAACGAAGGCGGCATTTAATCCATCGAACATATTTATATTTGTTCTTTTAAAACCAGTGTAAGGTTAACGCCAAATCAAAGCAAGCCTTGCAGACTGGTTTTGNCTAGTACGGTATATGGCGTCTGCACGTTCTGATTTTGACAGAAAGTGTATGTACCATTTAATTTTCAATATTTTTATAGTTCCTTTTGAAATGCTTCCCACTAAAAAAAAACATTGAATACAATTTCATGGTTTGCATCATTCTGTATTGTCTCAAAATAAAGGCAAAATAACCTTATAAAAATGTCAGAAGTTTCTGCAAACCAGGCTTAGGCTGCTTTCTTCTTCAGTGTGATATGGCTGCGCTGATTGTGGGTCTAATGATGACGTCAAAAACTTTTGGCAACTTATGCCCGTCCTCATCTGGGTTCACAAAACCAGGGGTTTTTTTAATCCATATAGATTCCTTTTGGGATAATTGAAATGAAAACCTTGAAATTGAACGCTTTAGTATCCCAATAAAGTTATCCTCAGTTGCATTGAACACAATCCTCTACTCATAAAATAATGTAACTGCTATGAGTTATTTTCACTTGCACATTACCTATGCAATGACATATTTATTTTTAGATCCTGCACTTAATCATGAAACAATTCTTTCTTGCAACAGTGTAAATCTATTCAATAAAAGTGAGATTTACAAGAGGTTGATGTTACTCGTTACTTGGCACTTTTTTTAATTAAGCTCATTTTTGTGACCCTACATGTATGCACAATTTCATCTTGTTAATTCTTTTGGATTTGATGTTTATTACATCCTTTGACAACAGAAAATTTGGTAGAACACATCCAAAGCTAGTGTTAGACATTGAAGGCTACAGTTAATACATATTTCACTGCAAATGTAAAGTGTATTCATCATTTGCTACATCTCATTAGTAGATGGTAATGAGTTTATATTTTTTCTCTACATGTAGATGCTACCTGGTGTGCTGGCATTTTGTGTTTGCCGCTTCATTTGAAGGAAGAATGTGGATGCCTGCTTCGAAAATTCAGTTGTATGGGAGATTCAGTTCAGCCTATAATTACTTACTCAGGAGACTTTATGTCAAGTGACACAAAGTTTTACATCTATACAGGAAATGTGAAAACCGCCACAGTTGATTCATTTGCTGATGCTCTTAGTGGCCACTTACTTTGCCTTTAACGTGGCATATTCGACCAACCTTCTTGGCACCTGACTTTCATTAAGAAAGTCCTGATTGGGCATACAGATACGGTTAAGGTTTTGCCCAAGCTGACTACCTTATTGACAAGAATACGTTCATAAACACTATGGAACCTTTATTCATTGACAAGTATTCAAACTATTACAGGTTAGCCAATTTACCGGTTCTTTTAAATTCCCTACACTTAATTTTAGCCAATTTACCGGCTCTTTTAAATTCCTTACACTTAATTTATTGAGGACCAAAATGGTGTCTCCATTTTTTACTGGCACATCTGCTTATAAGCCTGTAATTTTAAGGAAAAGTTTCTTGAAAAAAAAAAAGATATGCCACTGAAGTTCTGAGACACCACTTTGTTCTTCAAAGAGTTTTCAAAAAAATGAGGAATTTAGTTCATGTGACCATGACAAAGACATTGAGTTGTACGTGGATGGAAAAGTTTGTCTTGACTTCTAGTTTTATAAAGTATAAACTTTAATATGTTAAAACGATATTTTCAAGTAGACTGGTTATAATCAGCCATTCACATTAACTTAAGATGAATACCAGGGTCAGAGTCTACAAAAACTTTGTTTCCTTTTTTTGTGAATAATGTTTGTATTGTAAGCTGCATGATGCTGTATCTATGAATAATCATTTCTTTCATATTATATTTTATATTATCTTTTGGAAGCTGTAAAAAATTACTTCACATTATTTTGATTTGAACATGTTTTTGGGTTGTGTGTTATGTGTTACGGGTCAGAGTACCCAATACCAGCAAAAATCAATGACAAAAGATTTAAAGAAGTTTTAATATTTTATTAAAACTAAATAAACTAATGACAATAACAATAAGCTATTCTTAATACACAAATAAACCTATCTGAAAGCATGAAGTGTCCTGTGTGAAAGTCCAATGTGAATCCGTCGACTGGAGAGTGAATGGAGATAAATCGGCTCAAAGTTCAGTGAAAGTGTCCGATGAAATCCCACAGTAATTACGATGCAAGTTCCAGTATAAAATATGAGTGTCGGTTCAGTGGTAAATAGGTTCCAAAAAAAATATTCTCCTTCAAAAGTCCCAAAACAAAAAACAGTCTCCTATCCGTTCATACTCCAGCGTCTGTCTCAACTAACGGTCTCGAGGTACATATGCTCTCGCGATATGGTGACGTCATAAGCTGACCTTCTTATACACAACATATTATGGAATCCCAGGAGGGCCAAACGAAAAAAAAAAAAAAAACATTAAAAAAAATAATTTGAAAAAAAAATAATAAAAAGAAATTTGCTAGATCGCGCGTAATCCCGCGAGATCGCGCGTAATCCCGCATGGTCACGCGAAATCCCGAGAGATCAATCGTGTTTCATTTTCAAGATGAAATTAAAAAAACACGAAATCTTGCGAGAAAGTGCGAGAAAGAAAAAAGCATGGCGAATGAGGCAGGGAGGGGCTGTTCAGAATGCCGACATTGCACCGAACATGAAGAGGAGGATGTCATTTGTAAAGGGAAAACAGCCCAACAGCCTGGGATATTGGCTCCATGCTAGGCCAATGCTACAATGAGAAGGAATTTTTTGGAGCTAGAATATTTTAAAAAAACACTCTTTAGTACCACCAGCATTCTAGAAGTCGGATACTGGCTGCGGAGCACTTGTTCCTGTTTGGGGGATTCGCCAGGTTACGCGTCGATGTAGCCGATCGCATTTTAAGTTCAAAATATATAAAATTAGGCACATTTGATTGATGTGACAACTTGCTACTTACATTTTTGTGGCTTTTCACTACACAGATGAATGACTGTCATAAACGAGTGTAGAATTTTTATTGTGAAAATCGGGGACACATGTGGTAACTAAGGCAAAGGGTAGTACATAGTAATGAAAATGGTTTTCTGTAGTCGATCTTGGCTTTAACGAAGTAGAGCACATGGTGTATATTTGCTATTCGAACAATCGAGGACTATGTTTTTTGGCCAAATCATTGCTAGAGACCTTGTTTTTTTTTCATTTTGTAGAGCTTTGCATGCGCTACACTGCAGGTTTTTTTTTTTGTATTTTTTATTTTTTTCGTTAGGGCTCGCGCATTGTTCTGTATCAAATAGTTCAACATCCAATATGCAGATGTGAAAATAAAATGTAAAATACACCAAAATTAGCAGAGATACACCCATAGTTACTACTGAACTTGAATAGGAAGGAGTAAACTGGCAATCAAAAATGATTGGACAATTTTATTTAAGTTGTGCTGTTTTTATTATTTACTTAATTGTTGAAAATGGAAGTAAACTCATTAGTTATAGTTCTCACTTGTGTACATAGTGAAATTTTCAAATATCATGGGCCCGAATACCTTTGCTAATTAATTTTTTTATAAATACCATTTTAACTGCATTGCATAATAAAGAATTGGTGGTGATTATGCTCTTAAGCATTATGTAATATAGCATCAAAAGTGAGGGAAAATAAATTTTGGTCACTCTCACCTTAATGGCCATTAAAGTCATGCTACTCGTGGCTCTCAAACCTACTGAAAGGGTTCTTGGTCTGAATTGTACCTAGACTTGCACCAGTTTGACTGCCTTCTATGTGCGTTCTATACTTTTTAAATATTGGCATTTATTGAGGGATTTAACCCCCAAAGGCATGAAGTCAAATGGCAGTGACCTTTTATACATTATACTATTATGATAGACAGTTCAAGGTTGTATCATTACGTAAAATTGTATCAGATTTGGCAAAACAAATTGTGCACTGCCAATAGTAACATTATAAAGAAAAAACAGTGACATATTAGTTTGAAAATCCAATAATAATCCTTAAGCACAGATCAAATTGGGAACCCAGCTTGATTGTTTTTTTTTTCCTGAAATTTATGCATTTTTATTTGAATGTTCATATTTCTCTTGCTGGCATATTTTAACTGTGAATTTAAACTGACATGGGTCTGCTAGTAACATATTCCTAACGGACATATACCTGCAATGCTATCGACTTTCTGTTAAGCATACTGTATTTTGCATCAGTATTGACAGTTACCTACTTTGTGCATTTTTATTCTTTTTTTTTTTTGTAGTTTTGATAGCTATGCTGGGATAGAGACTTTGAATTATATGTATAGTCAAGTTTATTGAGCATCACCATGCACATAAAGAGATAACACCATCAAGGGAAAACCAATTTACCTTTTAGTCTTACAGAACTTGTGGTTTCATAAAAATGGGTTGTGTAGCCTGTTGCGCATTGTATTAATGTATCAAAAAGAGGAAAATAACCTCTTTTGTGATTCTTTATTTTCTTTTTTCCTGTACAGCAATTTAGAATTTGCAGGTTGGTGCAGAAACATTAATATTACATTTTACACATATATAGATGACTGTAGTGCAGATCTTTCTAGCATGAAGTGTCTCCTTAGTTGAATATAACACTCCTCTGCAGTGGATATTTCTAATGTCAAGTGGTTAGTGGCAGTGAAGTTAGTTGCTTCATTATAGAAGTCCTGTGGAACACGAGCAGATTGTTCATAGTTCAGTGTTTTTTCTCGTGCAACTTCTGCCAAATCTCTATCACTGACAGTGAATCCACACTGGTGACCGCCTGCAAATATATATTGCATAAAATATGTAGGTTGATATACCTTAAGCCAGTTGTTCCATTTAGTCACATAGCCAATGCCACAAGAACATGGTGATGTGTTAAATTGACTACATGTTCATATTTAAAGTAAAAGATTGATTATTACAAAAATGTTTTAAGTTTTAAATATTTCAATCTTTTATATGCTAAACATGTAACTGAAATTGCCAAATTTACCATATAAATGTGGAAATGCATAAATGTCATTTGGAGCAGCACCAATGGGTAACCACACCTGCCTTTGGTGTCTTATTTTGTGGTTGTTCCACCACAGTTGAAATGCACCTATATCATGTTGTATCAGAGGCAAGTAAACAAATACCATGCACCACTTGTCAATGCAACTGTGTCTGTCATACCAACCATCTCTGTGCAAACCCTGAAAAGTATAATACTTGTGAATTTATCAGTTATTCTATGATATTACATAACTAGAAACTAATTTGACAAATAAACCATGATATTTACTATTATTATTTATTTATTTATTTATTTATTTTGTAAATCACTGTTAAGGTACTATTATCATCATATAAGGAAACATTTCTTAATCATAATAAGTATGCCCTACCTATTTTTTTAATTTGTGCACATTTTGGAAGAAATACTGTTTGGGAGTTTCTGAACTAAATAGTCTTTAAATAGTCTTTAATAATATAAACCATTTTATCCATGAGTAATGGAAATGCCTTTTCTTACTTATAATAACCAGTTTATCATCAAAAATATATTTTGTCGTAAACATGTTGTTAGTGGGATGTTTAAGAAACTCTCCATTATCCTAATGAATCCTAGAATATATGGGAGTTAAATGACTGGGAAAAGCAGAAACTACCAAAAAGAAATCAACTTACCATTAATTCTTCCTGCCAACGGATTAAAACTCTCTTTAGGAAAGTTGACCAGGAACACTCTATTTTCTGAAATAAATGCATGACATCAGAATAGTGCGTGATCGAACTACAGGCTTTAATAGACATCCTTGTGACAAATGGGTAAATATAATAAGAAATTTACATACCTGGTTCAGTGGTGAAGGCCCCATGATGTCACTATTGGAGAAAGCATGCTGATCACTGCTATTTCTTCTTAGGAACATTTGGCATTCAATTAAGTCTACATTCTCTGTCCCTGGGTCACTTCTAGTTCTATTAGGGTAGACTATTAAAAAACGGTAACTATTAGCACAGATGTTTAAGAAGACCACAGTGTTGAAATATACCCCAAACTAGTATGTTACAATGGCAAAATCAGAAATGGATAATACTAGTAAACTCTTTTAAACCCGGTAGTGTGTTGTTGGATAAGGGATAGAGTTTTTCAAATTGGCTTTTACTTAAAACAGTACATTATATACATGTATCTGCACAGTGTCTGCAGTCATTCAATTTTGGTGGATCAACGTAGAAGCAATGCCGTTTGCCTGCTGGGTTGGTTTTGTGGTGCCATGTGTGAGTATGTGGACAGTTCTCAGTAGGGTAAAATCAATTATATAAACTCAGGATTTTGGAATTAATAATATCAGAAATATGGAAAAGCATTGAAAATGTTGAAAGCAAGATTATTCTGTAGTGGTTACCACTTTAACTAAGGATTAAATGATTCTTACCTTTTAAAGTCTTCACAGTGTCAAAGAAATATTTAGCCACTACTTTAGAATCCTTATTTGTAGTGTTGGCATGTAACCACAAAATCTTGCGTGAAAAGGTATCAATGCATCCATGTATGTAAATATGGAAGAACTGCAACTTGTCATTACCATCCAAAGACCAAATCCAATTTGGTCCCTGAAAAGAAATAGTTGATATTATCACATGAAAACAAAATTAAATGTCATTTTGAAGGAATATACATGTGAACAATCTGACTGATACATTCCTCAAATGAACAAATCAAACAACTTTTACTGATAAGTGGCTCCATCATACTGTAGCACACTGAATATTTTGGTATTTTTACAAACTAATAATATCTGCTGAAGTCTACCTGGACACCTGAAGTAAGTAACTCTAACACAAGTGAACAATAACTAACTACTGCACTACCTGTGCAGCTCTTTATTATAGTACCAGTTATGCAAATGACCCAATGCTACAAGTCCAATAAATATGATTGGCTAGTTTACCACTGCATAACCACTGCAATGCAACACTCTACCATAATTGTTTGAGATGTTATCACATAGCCATTATGTAAGTTCTACAATACAATTATCTTTCTATAATCTTAAGTTAGTTGAAACTGACAGTATGATGACTTGGCAAATTTTTGTGACCAGAAAAGGGTTTAAGACTAAATAGTTTTCCACATATTGTGTTATCGCTGAAAGTGCATAGCTTAAATGATCAAGACAGATAGGTCTCTGTGTCTATACATAAAAATAATATTTACCTGTGATTTAAAAACTCTTCAATTTAAAGCACTTCGTATCCTTAGTTTCTGACCTTCAGCATCAATTTCACGCAATATCTCTTGCACATCAATTCTTAGGATAGAGTAACAGAATAATATAATTTAATAGAAGTGCAACAAATATAGATTATTACTTTCATTTTTTAATTAACTGCTTAATTGCAAAAATTAATCCTTTACTTTACTAACCTTTTTACTTTCTTGTGATATTTCTGGCGACACTGATCATATATTCGCCTTACACCTGCCAGTCCCCCACAAACAACGACTTCTTGTTGAATAATATCCTACATAAAAAGTTATGATTCACACATTAAAATGACCATTTATTATGTATATAACCTTACTAAATTATGATTGGAAATATAAATCACTGTAAGATGTCAATATTTTTATTTTATTTGTACAAGGGGGATAATTAAGTTTTGGATTGTAACAGACTTTCTATCAGACATATCTATATACTAGTACTGTACTGGTTGGTTAGTGTATTTATGCCATCTCCTCTATTCTAAGACTTGAGTGATCAAAATACTACAGATATTATTTCAACATACAGATTGATTCAAAGTTCAGGTAGGCAGCATCAAAATTATCGCTTACCCTTAGTTCTTGGACAGGGACATGTTCATGTCGCTTGATTTCAAGAACATTTAACCTTCTCTTGAGGGTTCTTTCACTGAAAGTGAAAAACAAAATAATTAATAATAATTAGATTCTTTCTGAACTTATTACCCCCTTTAAGATATTCAGTGAGCTGACAACTTTAAAGTTCACCCTTCATGCAATAGGATTTTGCAGATTTTTATGGAAATCTATATGAAAATGATAACACGGGCCAAGACTTTTCTGGGGATTCATGCCATTTAAAATCACCACTTGTAATTTTCAACAAAAATGCCAGGAGTCCAAGCCATCATTAAAAAAAAAACCTATCCAGTGATGTCAGCAGCTGTCCAATTAATAGTTAAGTTTGTCACCAAGAAAAAGACTTGACGTGGGCGATAAGCAATGAGCTTCACTAACAATAAGAATTAAACATGACATTGATTGACACAAAGATTTCTCTACAAAAAAGCAATTATAAATAAGCATTTGTTGCCACAAAGAATTATACACAAAAATATTTACCTTCAGGTAATACCAAAGTCCTTTAAGTATTCTAATATCAAAGCATTGCTTTTATTACGTTCCACTAGATTGTTGAGGAAAACCTTTAAATCTGAAATTCAAAAATAAAATGAATTTTTTACATGAAGCAATGAGAGACTATAGACTTATAAGAGATACAATTAAACACACAAACACACATTATAAGGCAATTTCATTTAGTATGCTCTTTTGTTTATTACAAAATGGATGTTAATTTTTTCCTGAGATTTCTCCTCGAGTGCCAATTACATATAAATAACAGTCTTTTACAGTGATATTTCATAATTTGTAGCCCAAAGAAAAGCTTTGATAATAACACTGGAGATGTGTGCCTCAACATAAAAGGTGAATTATACAGGCTAAATCCACCTAATTCAATTTTATGATTTATATTTTATATTTTCTTAAATCAACTTCTGTTTCATGCTCTCACAAAATAACTATTATTTGAATTGACAAATTGAAGACCAAGAATTAAAAATATTTCAATTAATATCATATATGAAACTATTTCAATTCTTATTGTATTTTAACACAAATAACTTGGTAGATCCATGTTGAAAAAAGTCAAACACTGAATTTGCTCACCAAATTTGAAGTTGTGATCCATGGGCAAGTGCCCACAGTTGACACAATGTCTGATGGTACTAATTTTTCGGTATCCTGGACATTGACATTGCCTTTTGTTACAAGCACCGACGACACTCTACAAACGTAAATTACAAATGAAAAGCATTACTTTCAACCTTCCTATCCTTAACGGGAACTGTACACGTGTGGTTTAATAATTGTCTCGAGGAAGTCTAATAAAAATACTGTAAATTTATGAACATGTATGTAAAATAAGTTAAATGCCTAATGAAGACGTTTGCATAACCAGTCAGTGTCACTGTGTCAGGAAAGCGACATATTTATTTAACCGGTGTCGCTATCTTCTTATATTGCCCCTAGTACATTCTAATACTAGTAATAGTAAAGAAATAAGACTCAAGAGGACACTGATCGCCCTTGATACACTAATAAATACTATACGTCACACTATCATCTGCATAAAGAATAAAGAGAAAACAACTTACGTGCAATATATTATCACATCCGCATGATTTACAAATGGGAATGTGAGCCTGTTGTTCATAGTCCGTGCAATGTTGGCATTTTAAACACATCGTGGCTTCTTCCGCCATGTTTCTATTCTCGCAATTTCTCGTGAGATATCGTGATTTTTTTTCTCTTTTTCTTGATTTTCTCTTGAAATAAAATTTGCTCGGTATCGCGGGATTTCACGTGGCCAAGCAGGATTACGCGCGATCTCGCAAGATTTCGCGCGATCTTGCAATTTTCTTTTTTCATTTAAAGTTTAAAAAATTTTTTTTTTCAATTTTATTTTTTATTTTTTAATTTCACTTGGCCCTCCTGGGATTCCATAACATATGGAAATATTTTAAGAAAGCAGTTATTTTGTTAACATGTTTCGGTGGCTTAGTGGCTAGATTAGTTAAGAAATTCAACTAAAGGTCGTCCCAGATTTTGGGACAACTGGTCCAGTTAAGTTTTCCAAGAAGAGTTCTGTGTTCATGACCATTTGTTAATGCAATACATTCATGTTTATCATTTAGGATTTGTCTGTATCTTGATCGAGGTATTGGATTCCATGGCTATTGCATGCTTTTTATAAAAGAGGATTTGTTAACTTGCTGTTTTTACTGCAAATAGAAATATTAATCAAAAACGATTTAGTTTATTTTTTGCAACAACTCATTTCAAACTGTCACTGTTTTGCTTAAAGTGTTGTATCATTTTACAAAAGGCTGAAAACACAATTTCAATGAAAAATTCCCCTTTAAAATAGGACCAGATGAGTCTTTAAATGTCTTCACTAGACTAAAACGATTCTCCCAGAAGCCTCATCTGGAGGCTCTGAAAGGACTAAAATTCATAGCTAGAGCCCCTTTAAAGAATCTTTTGAGTCCTTTAAAAGACTCAATCGTCTTGAGTCCCTTGATTCCAGTTGAGTCTCCAAGGGACTCTAGCTAGCTGGAGTCTCTTTAACATTAAAGGACTCGGAGAAATCCTCAAAGGGACTTGATTTAGGACCCGCTGCTGGAGTCGCTAAAAGACTCAGTATGAGTCCTTTTTTGCTGTCAGTGGGTTTCATATAGGATCCAGGCATAAGTTAAACATGGAAGGATGGATTAAGCCTAAGTTTTAAACACCCTACATGTTGTAGACCAGTGTATAATTCGACAACCCCAACATAAAAAATAAGATAAAATTAGTTATACATCTTCATCTTTCTCTCCACCCTCCCTTCCGCCTTAACCATTAAAAGGCAAGTGAACGGTCAGGCTCTACAGAGCTTTACAAGAACTCAAATATGTACATACCTGTAAGTACATTGTTTCATTTTTCATTTTTCATCTCGGTCTGGATTAGTTTTTACTTATTTTGATTGTAAGTTATACCAACACTAAGATATATATCTTACTTTCCTCATTTCCATATTAAAACCATCTTGTAAACTATGCACACATTTGAACAGTCGGACAAATCAGCCTGTGCTACATTTTACAATGATTAATGTACAACACAAGCATCATGATATCTTTACTGTCACTGTGCTGTTGTACAGATATGTACACATGCACATGTATATATAGTGTATTCTGGCAAATGTATTTACCTCTGAATATCTCTAAAGTAACATCTCTCTCGGCCCTCTGTAAGTCCAATTGTACACCTTGTTCTATAAAGTAAATGAAGGATGCGCATTTATGAGCCATGTTTCATATATCAAAACTTATGTACATACTTAAATAAATCTTTACAGTGTGACCTCCAAGTTTCAAACAAGTTACGAGTCGAAAAGCTCTTCGTAATTCGAGAGGCTCTCCAACAAAACTGTATTATTGCACCCATGCTGTATTTGGAAAAAAGGCAAAGACTGACAAAATACACACAACAATATTTATATGTTTGAAAGTCCGTAACCTGAATATCGTGCAACTTCCGGCCAGTTAAATATAATGATGTAAGATCTACTATATGTACATTATGGAAAGCAGGCATTATTCACGCTTAATTTATCTGTGAACATACAAACATACATAGATATATAAATACCGTTATTGTAGTGATATTCATAGCATATCTTCACGGCAGCAATGTAAAAAAACCTTTACTGATAAATGGCATTATTAACATGATATAGCTTTGGAAGATATTTACATCAGCTTAAATGGAAAATTGTTTTACATGCAACTGATATTTACAAAGCACTGTGTCATGATAAACATTGAGATATTTTCAAAATTAGCTACTGTACAATATATAGGTAGTATATACACATGGAAAAACTACACAGCATGGGCCACGCTTATGACCGGTGAAGACAACCTATTCTAGCTATATATATCTTAATGTGCATCATCCTCATCTTTTGAAGATTGTTTACTCCCATTGTAAAAAAGGCACCCCTACCGAAATTATGTACATTGCTACAAGGGTACCCATAGTTTTAATTTTTCTATTACATAAAAACAAAGCAGTCGGTATTTGTCAGTATATATGTCAGTTGGGAATATGAGTAACAGAACATTGAGGTACCTAGCGTAACCATTGAAATACTCCAACACCAACGTTTTTAATATGCGGCTCCTATGTGAGAGGGGATATATTTTGTTTATCTAGGGGTTGCTATAGATAGGAGTTTTGACCCGTCAAATTGCCAGAAGGTTGGGTTGTCCGTTGAGAACCTATGAGAGGGTTAAAAACATCATAACCAAACAGGCACATGGGCAAGATTGCCTGGGTAAAGGAAACCAAACATAGAGAAGAGCGAATAGATAATGCTAACACGTAGAAAACGTTTCATGACATTAAGGAAGTTGACAGCACATTTTACAAGAACAGGACAAAGCGTGTTTCTGAGCTAACCATGAATAGACTTCTGCACACCAGCCGTTATTTTGGCAGGGTTTCTATTTGGAGATCAGTGATCACTGGCAGGAATCGTCTCCGTCGAGTCAGATAGTATACCGGAACTCTGGTATGGACATCAGCCAATAGCTGGACAATGGTACTGTTCTCAGGTGAAAGCGAGGGTTTTGAGAACAGCTGGTAACAAGTATCGTCCCAATTTTCTGCCTCTGGTCAACAGAAGGCACCTGCATATGCTATAGCATGGAGTGTATTGGCTACTAAGGTGTAGTCGGGCTGGCAGTGGTCAACGAAAAAATGTGCTTGGAAAAAACAGACATCTCAGGTCGGCTGTTCAAGGATGTAGTGACCATCGAATAAGATCATGATTAAGTGTCTCCTTTTTATGTTTCCTCTTGGTTCACTTGCAAATTCTTGATTTATCCAGTTTTGCTGTCTCGAATCATCTTGTTCCTAACATAAAGGAATGTTTAATGCCCTTAAAAAGGTTTTATTACAGGGGGCAATGAAAAATGAAATCACAGGTAGTGCGCTTTATACTTATTGACTAAATTAAAATAGGACACAGAACTAATGCATTCTCACCTTTATAAAATCCAAAACCCGTTTGTAGACTGCATGCG